GTCCTCCAATGGGTGCCGGCTCTCCGCGTGCCCGACGGATGTTCCTTTGCGTTCCCCGTCCGAGGACGCGTGCGCGCGCGTGCGTGGGTCTGAGGGCGCGCGCCCTCCCCGCCTCGTGGGAAGGTGGGTCCGGGTCCGCGGCTCCCCCAGGCCGAGGCCTGGCCTCTGGCCTCCCGCGCGCTTTCCGGGACGCTCCGCTGCGCTCGGCAAACTTTTGTTTGTAGTTTCGGGTTTGTTTTGGAGACGGGGGTCTCAGTGTAACCCAGGCTGGCCTCAAACTCAAAGATCCGCCCCCCTGCCTCTCGAGTGCTGGGACTAAAGGCCTGCGTTGGTAGTTCCGACTTTTTTCTTGAAACTTGTTTGGGATTTTCGAGACAGACTGACCTTGAATTCTTGAGGTTCCCAACTTAGCCTTCTAGTACTGTGAGTCACCACGCTTAGTAGCAGTTTTGCTCTTTTCTTTCAAGAATCAATCCTATAAAGTAAAATATTTCGGCGTGGCCTCAGGGCTTGTACCTGTTGCCGTCCTCCTGTCCCAGCTTGAGTGCCGATGTGACACTCGAGAGCCTCCAGATGCAGTCGGTTAGCGAGTTACTAAGACTCTTTGAGCCGGGTGTGGTGGTGTGCACCTTTAATCCGGGCCGAGATGGGCAGATCGCTGCGTTCCGGCTCAGCCGGGTCTCGTAGAGAGACTGTCTCATAAAGGGTTTTGGAAGACATGCAGTAAAGCAGAGAGGTGCCCACTAAAGATCAGTGTCACGCAACCCAGGCACCACTTCCTTAGGCGGAACTCTTGGAGTCACTTGGGAACCTGGCCAGCCAAGGTAGGCTTGCTGCTGCCTGTTAATGCAGGCTAGGTGCAGCAGGTGAGGCGGAGTGCAGTCACGAGGGGCTGGGGTTGATCAGTAACCTAGGGTGTATCCGGGCAGCTCTGTTGGTTTGTAAATGGTAACAAGGCCACTTTGATTCCATCAGCCTCCTGGCTCTGGAGCTCCCTGCCCCCACTCAGGAATCAGTCTTTGGCTACTGCCTTTACCTGTTTTCTGGGCTTCTAGGACTATAGGATACCCAGCAGTCGAATAGTGGACCCGGGTCACTGGTCGATTTTGTAGAAAGTGGCCTTCGTAGTGTGTTCAAAGGCAGGAGCAGGGTCCTGCGTGGAAGGAGGGAGGGGCTCTGAGGACAATGATGGCCCCCTTTCAAGTGGAGACTCAATGAGTGGCTCACTTCCCTGCCCTTCCTTCCGAGCCCAGCTGGCAGAGAGCCCTCCAGGCCCCAGTGCTGATGTCTCTCTTTCTCTCCACAGCATCGTCCCAGACATAGCAGTCGGTACAAAGGTAGGTGTCTCTTGCTTGACATTGCACCCAGCCCTGCTGTAGTCAAAGCTAGACCGTGCCTGCTGTAAGGTGACCTGCCCCGGTCCAGTCTACAAAGACCAGTAGGCAGAGGATGGCACAGGTGCCTACACACTTGCCACCCAAGTGATAGGAAGGCCTAAGACCCTTTTCTGGGTCTGACTGTGGCTCTGTGCTGGCCTCTTTTTGGCTTGTTTTGTTCTGCCTTAGCTCTTCATCTGAGCAGTGGGTTCAGGCATTTGGGCACTTACTGAGTGTTGCCCGCCCGTGTGGGTTTGGTTTGGAGGTGTGGCATGTTCTCAGTTGAAGATTGTAGACTTGTCTGAGTCTCTGCTGACCAGGCAGGTCTCCCCTGGACTCATAGCAGGGGACAGTAGCATGTCTCTAGCTCCATTGGCACTTGGGGATGGGACCTAAGACTAGAAGGGCTGCTATGTCCGATGGCCTAAACCTTGGAATGACAGTTGTAGGTCTGTGTGTCAGGGATTGGTCACGCTCTGTTGGGTGAGCTCTTTAGAATCGCCTGTTAAGCCGTAGTGGGTGACAGTAGTTCCTACCCTCAGAAGGCCTCACAGGTGAGACCCCCACGTTCAACCCAGCCACTGACAGCTGACCACTAGGTTGCTGTCTGGACTAGTTTTGTACTTTCCTGGGTGGACTGTGTCTGCACCTACCTGCTGCTCTCCCTTCCCTCAGATTCAGACTAACTTGTGTGTTCAGTGATGGAGGGAGGGACCCTACTAAGGTCCAGGCCTGCAGGTGACTGGGCAAGGTGTTGCTTGCTGACCTGGATTGCCTCGTGGCTACTTGTCTGCACAAGACTCCATTCTGGCTAGCCACAGAGGGCATATTGGGCAAGTTAGGAGCACACAGCTCTGCGTGGAGAAAGAGACCAGGCTTCCTTGCTCTGGACTGGCAAGCATTTGGGAAGGCTGCACTGACAGTGGCTTCCCTCTGCTGCGGTCTGCATAGTCACTTGGGGTTGTTGGCTCAGGTGCTTGTAGTTCCTCTGGTCTGGGCTCCTGCACCTACTCGGAGACTGTTAGTGCTCCGGCAGCCTGCCAGGAACAGAACTACAGGAAGTGCTGCTCCTCCCGCCCAGTCCAGGCGGAAGTCACCCTCCCAGTAGGGTCAGGCTGAGAGACCTCATGGGAGACTGGCTGCCAGCAGGAAGTGCCTTTCTGCAACTCAGATGTGGACATGATGTTCTGGGCTTTGCATGTCAGAGTCCTGCCCCCCGTGCTGGGCAGGTGATGTCCCTCTGTAGCCCTTGATCTTAAGACATTAATGTGCAAGCTTCAGGTGGGTGCAGGACATGAGGGACTTCTTGGGGTTCCCAAGTGCTGGTCTCTAGACCTGTCAGTCCAGGTGTTACTGGAGGATGGAAGCCAGTGCCCTTGGTAATGTTCAGTGAGGATGAAATAAGACATAGACAAGATGGTGGCCCCGAGCCCCTTGGTGTTTTAATTTCAGGGTCTGGTTGGCTAGGAATAGGTAACCAGGGAACTCTGTCCGTGTCCCGCCCCTGACTCTGATCTGAGACTTACTCTGGGTGGCAGGCCCTCTTTTGCTGTACTGAGCCTAGGTCCTCTGGTTTCCAGGGAGGTATTGGCTCAGCAAATTGCTCTGGCAAGGAGGGGTCCCCACTGTGGGGTCAGCTTGGGTGTTCCAGTGAGTGTCTTCCATCACTAGATGGTCCCACTCACCAGGTACAGCCACTCTTTCCTCTTGGAGTATGGCCAGGACAGCAGGGTTAGGCTTTGTTTCTGTGGAAGCTGCCAGCACCTCTGCCAGGAGGGTACCGTGAGGCTGGCAGCTGGGCGCTCTGAGCAGACGACCTGCTAGGCGGGGCCCTCCCACATGGCTGCTGGCTGTGAGCACTGAAGCCACACATCCCTGCGGGCCGGTGTGTGATGGGTGGGTAGAGAAGGAGGGATCAGCCTGGAGTTGAAGGTTCATGCTCTCTTCCCAGCGGGGATCCGACGAGCTCTTCTCCACCTGTGTCAGCAACGGCCCCTTCATCATGAGCAGCTCGACTTCAGCAGGTGAGAGTGCTCGGGCCACACTGGCCTTTGTCAGTCAGGGAGTGCCCTAGGGAAGCCTGGCTTGGGAACGGGGAGACCCAGCCAGAGGCAGGAAAGGGCTTGCAGTCTCCCAAATGCACCCATATTAATTTTTCAGCCAATGGAAATGACAGCAAGAAGTTCAAAGGCGACAACAGGAGCACAGGGGTTCCTTCCAGAGTCATTCATGTCCGCAAGCTACCTAGTGATGTCACTGAGGGCGAGGTCATCTCCCTGGGGCTGCCCTTTGGGAAGGTTACCAACCTCCTTATGCTGAAGGGGAAGAACCAGGCCTTCATTGAAATGAACACGGAGGAGGCTGCCAATACCATGGTCAACTATTACACGTCAGTGGCACCCGTGTTGCGTGGACAGCCCATCTACATCCAGTTCTCTAACCACAAGGAGCTCAAAACTGACAGCTCGCCGAACCAGGCGGTGCGTCCGCAGGGCAAGTGGGTGGGTGGTCTGGCTCCCTGCCTCAGCCCTGGGTCGCAGCTCATGATGGTTTATCCACAGCGTGCCCAGGCAGCCCTGCAGGCCGTGAACTCTGTGCAGTCTGGAAATCTGGCCTTGGCAGCCTCTGCTGCCGCTGTGGATGCTGGAATGGCAATGGCAGGCCAGAGCCCAGTGCTGAGGATCATTGTGGAAAACCTCTTCTACCCAGTGACCCTGGATGTGCTGCACCAGGTGAGTGGGTACATACCCTAGACCAGGGAGTGGGGTCCATCTGCCTGCAGCTGGGACTCACACAGCTCTCTTGCAGATCTTCTCTAAGTTTGGTACAGTCCTGAAGATTATCACATTCACCAAGAATAACCAGTTCCAGGCGCTGCTGCAGTATGCTGACCCTGTGAGCGCCCAGCATGCTAAGCTGGTGAGTTGGGCTTCTGGTGAGGTGGGCAGTCCTATTCTTGGGCCACACTCACCATTGTTTCTCCATAGTCGCTGGATGGCCAGAATATCTACAACGCCTGCTGCACACTGCGCATTGACTTCTCCAAGCTCACCAGTCTCAATGTCAAATACAACAATGACAAGAGCAGAGATTATACTCGGCCCGACTTGCCTTCTGGGGACAGCCAGCCTTCTCTGGACCAGACCATGGCGGCAGCCTTTGGTAAGATGCTATACTGAGATGCACCAAGTCAGCGGGGTGGGAAAGGCCACCTAGCTGTCAGGCTCCCCGCCACCCTGGCACTGCACAGCCCAGCCACTCAGCAGTCCAGCCCATGTCCGGCCCAGCCGTGAGGTGAGGTGCAGTGATTAGTGTCTGTTTGTTTCTAGGTGCGCCCGGCATAATGTCAGCCTCTCCGTATGCAGGAGCCGGGTTCCCTCCCACCTTTGCCATCCCTCAGGCCGCAGGTATTCACGCTCATCCTGACCCCGGCGCCTGCATGCCCACACAACCCCATAGCTGCTCATAGACCGGGATGCCTCTGGCCCTGAGTGTCAGGTCCCGGGCCCCCTTGTGGGGAGAGGGGAAGGGGCCTCTGGCAGCATTCCCAGGCAGGCAGGGCAGGGCAGTCTCAGGCAGGGCTGGGCCAGGCGCCCTCCACTGGTGTTAGAAATGAAGTACTAATCACGCAGTCTTTGGTCTGGTTCCCTTCAAGCACCTTGGGCGAGGACGAGGATGCAGTGTCCCTAGTAGATTGAATTTAATGGCCTGGTAAGCAAGTGGCCTCCAGGGCTGAGAAGCATGGGCCTCAGCCTCTGCGTGCCGCCCGAGCCTGCATGGAGGAATGGGCGCCGCATGCAAGCACAGCCGGGCGTGTCTGTGGCAGGCCCTGCTTGCAGAGGGCCCGTGTCGACCAGAGCTTTTGTGCTGTCGGGCGCATGTAGTCTGAACACATTTCGGACTGGCCATGGTGCCAGGCAGTGTGCGTGGCCTCTTGGGCAGTCCATAGCCAGGCAACACCTTGTGGCTGTGTGTGAGAAGAGGGTGCCTGCCTCCTCTTGGCACAGCCATCCAGACTCAAATCCACACTACATTCCCTTTCAGGTCTCTCTGTTCCTAATGTCCACGGAGCGCTGGCCCCCCTAGCCATACCTTCTGCTGCTGCAGCTGCTGCCGCTGGCCGCATCGCCATTCCAGGCCTGGCAGGCGCAGGGAATTCCGTCCTTTTGGTCAGCAACCTGAACCCTGAGGTATGTGGGTGTTGCTCTGCTCTGCTTGTACCTGGAATAGTGATGGGGTGCTGGTTGACCACAGGTTCTAGTGGGCGTACTGGATGGCAGGCAGGCCTCTGGGTGTCCCAGGCACCGTGGGCACAGGCGTGCTGCCCTTTGTCTGCTCCTGTTGGCCTCCGCTCCTTGCTGCTCTGAGGTTTTCTGTTTTCCTCTCAGCTCCATTCGCACCCCGGCCCTCAGTGCTCAGAGCCGGGGTGTTTTTTCTTGCTGTACAGGCAGTCTGAGTTAATTTGGGGCACGGCAAGGAGAAGGCCTGGGAGTGCCTGCTGGAGGGGAGGTGGCTCAGGCCAGTGCCAGCCAGCTTGTCTGTGTGGCTAGAGCTCTGTAGTGGCCCTTGAGGCTCAGTGTTACTTTCCCAGGATGAGTCTGTGCCTGGCAGTGCCTCAGGCTGCTCTTTGGCTCCTGTGGCTCTCCAGGCAGCCCTGCTCCAGCCAGTTCACTGCAGCTGTCCTGAGCTCCACGTCCGCCACCTGGGGACTAACAGGCTCCACTCCTTGCCTCAGTTCTTAGTCCTGGCTGCAGTGCTGGCCATGGCCCTTGAGCCTGCGTGCAGTGCTTCTCTTCACACGTGTGAACGTGTGTGTGCAAGAGTGTGCGAGTGCGTGAGTGCGTGTGGAACACTGCCTCATTTCCTACGTATTTACTGACCTGTGTTTTGCTACTTTTTTCTTTCCTCCCCTCCCCTCCCAATTTTTTTTTCTTGCCTGATCCGGAATTTCTTTGCCAACTGACTGCACGGTTCTTCTGCTTCCTGTTGTTGCTTGAAACAAACAAAACATAAATCAATAAAAACAAACTCCCCTCTCAAACCCGCTCTCCGGAAACCAACCTGCCCTTGAATATTAACATCCTGACAACTTGATCATCATGAACCTGCTCGCCTGCGGGGACTGTCTTCCTCGTGGACGATGGCACTCGCCCCTTTGACCTCTCCCTCTCCCTGTCCCCTGCTGCCCTCCTCTGCTGTCTCTAAAGAGAGTCACACCCCAAAGCCTCTTTATTCTCTTCGGTATGTTATTCTGACTTTTATTATCTTGTTTCGTTTATTTGATTATTTTACACCCTGCGATGTACTATTGAGTTTGTGTTTGGCCTTCTGCCTCGGTCCGTGGTTTGCTTCCGGTTTGCGGATTGTACTGAGTAGACACGCATGGTTACCACCCTGCATGCTTCCAGAGCTAAGCGTGTCAATAGCATGTGAACTAGGCTGTTCTGACAGCTGTCTGGAGTCCGAGACTGCCGAGCACAGTGCCCGTTAGCAGGCCTTGGACTGTGAGACGCAGGCTCCCGGTACCCACTAAACAAATCTGGCCGGCGAGAGCTTGGGGCGTGAGGGGTGGGGAGTGGGTGGGTTGAGTGGGTGGGAGAGGTTAAGAGGCCAGGTATCTCATCATTCTCTGTCCCTGGGCTTCAAAGGCGTCTATGGTGATGTGCAGCGGGTGAAGATTCTGTTTAACAAGAAGGAGAATGCACTTGTACAGATGGCCGATGGCAGCCAGGCCCAGCTGGGTGAGAACCACTGGAGGGGGGCATAGGCTCGCACTGACTGCGGCTGTGGTTGCCCATGGGAGCCAGTGAGCATGGGGACTGCTGCTCATGTGTTTGTTTCCCATCCTTTGCCCAGCCATGAGCCACCTGAATGGGCACAAGCTGCATGGGAAGTCAGTGCGCATCACACTGTCAAAGCATCAGAGTGTGCAGCTGCCTCGTGAGGGGCAGGAGGACCAGGGCCTGACCAAGGACTATGGCAGCTCACCGCTGCATCGCTTCAAGAAGCCGGGCTCCAAGAACTTCCAGAACATCTTCCCACCCTCAGCCACTCTGCACCTTTCTAATATACCGTGAGTTAGCCAGAGGGTGGCTTGTCCCTCTGAGCCCTGAATGGCTCCTAGTCTTTGTCTCTGCCTGCTGCTGTCCTTGTGTTGTGTGCCCCCCTCCCCATGTGTGTGGGACCCAGCCAGATGCCTTCTGTCTGCCTACAGGCCCTCAGTGTCAGAGGATGACCTCAAGAGTCTCTTCTCCAGCAATGGTGGTGTGGTCAAAGGCTTCAAGTTCTTCCAGTGAGTACAGCCCCGCTCCACTCTCCACCCTCCTGTCTTTACCCTGTGTGAGCCCCTCTGACCACCCTGCTCCCCACCCCTGCAGGAAGGACCGCAAGATGGCACTGATCCAGATGGGCTCTGTGGAGGAGGCGGTGCAGGCGCTGATTGAGCTGCACAACCATGACCTGGGCGAGAACCACCACCTGCGTGTGTCCTTCTCAAAGTCTACCATCTAGATGCACGTGGGCCTGCGACAGCTTCCACCATTCCAGAAAAGCCACTTTAAAAAGCAGCTGAAGTGACCTTACAGACCAGAGATTTTATTTTTTTAAAGAGAGATCAGTTTACCTGTTTTTAAAAAAATTAAATCTAGTCCACTTTGCTGTGGCGGGAAATGGCTTAGGCCACAGAGGCCCAGTCAGGCCGGGCACCATGCCTTGAGGAGCTCAGGCGTGAGGCCACAGCGGTGCCCCCGAACACAGCCGCTTTCTCGTGCCTTACAAAACCAGCCCACCTTGCGGCCACACACCCTCCCTCTCAAGCCACCAAGTCTGTCGCTAGACCTGCCGGTGAGCCGAGGCCTGCACTACAGGCTCCCTAAGCCATGCAGGAGCTGTGGCCACCGTCCCCACCCCTTATAATCAAGTGACATGATTCTCCCATGTCCCTGGCCAGCCCAGGAGGCCCAGGCCATCCTCAGCTGCCGAGCCTCATGTGACCTTTGTATTCTGTTCTGTGGTCACAGACACCTGTGCCTAGCAATATTTCCACTTGACCAAATACCCAAATCTTTTTCCATTTATAAGAGATAGAGTTTTAAGTAACTTTTTATAGCGATGATACAGTGGTATGTGTGTACTCTAAGCTTCTGTGTCCTTGTGCTTGTCCCCTCCTTCCTGGTGACCAACTTCCGGGTGGGGCCCATGCCAGTGCTGCCCCTGCTTGGGGAAAACAGCCCTGAGACCATTGGGTTCCTACCTTCAAATTTTGGACCAAAGTTGTTTTTTTGCCTGCCTCTGACTAGGCCCAGGTGAGGGGCTGACCTCTAGGCCTTAATGCCCCTGCCCATACGCCCATGTCATGCCTAGCCTGTCTCTGTGGGAGGGGTTCCCTGGACCTTGGTTCTGTGAAGGAGTGGCAAGAGTGTAAATATTTATGATTTTTATACCTGTGTGGGGCTGAGGCAGTGCAGCAGTTTTTTATGGTGACAGATATATATTTTGGTAACAACTACAGGCTCAGTATTGTCCCAGGGCCAGCCCTGGCTACATTCCACCCCGTCCCAGATGGTATGTTGGGAAGTTTCCATTAAAGCAGTTTTCTAACCTGTGCCTTCCCTGAGCCCTTCATTCTGAGCTGTAGAGGTATCGCCCGGGCTGGGCCTGGATTCAATAAACGCCTGTGTCTTGCGCGCCTCTGCCTGTCATTGGGCATTGGGGACTGGAGGGATTGGCATGGGGTCTTGAGTATGGGTCACATGAAGCAGAAGGGACAGGGCTGGGAAACTGCATGTCTTTAGGTTAAGGACCATTCAGACAACAGGATAGTGTCACTGTCTGCCTTTATTGGTGTTCCACATAGTTTTACCCCCCCCAACCAGGTTTGCCAGGTTTAATCCTGGTACCTGCGGGCCTGCATCCTCCTATAGTAACTTTCTGCTTCGGCTTCCATTTCCCGGTCCCCCAGCCCGCCCACCTGGCGCCTCATGGTGGATTCACGGCTGCTTGCACCTAGGGCGCCATCAGTTGAGCCTGGGGGGGGGCAGACCCTCCCCAGTGGCGAGGTTAACTGTGGCAACAGCCCCAAATCGGGCCTCCTCCTGGTCCATATCACTAACTGGAGACCCGGAGCCCATGCCGGGCTGTTTGCAGCTGCTCCGAAAGCCACGTGCTAGGTCTCCCAGCTCGTAGGAGCCATCGCCCTCCACTACTTTGGCCTTCCATTCCCAGGGTGTGCTGCCAGCAGACAGGTGCACCACGGGGTGGTGGGGTGCATGTGCATCGATTGTAACAATGCTGGCTGAGTCACGGTCTGATGGGGAGCGATATTGGGAAGAGTCGGAGCTGGCGCTGGAGGATGAGGCTGTCTCAGCCTTGGGGCCCCCTGCTGCCTTGGACATGGCAATGACCTGCAGAAGCCTAGGTGGGTTGACCACTCGTGGCTGTGATGGAGCCACAGCCACTGGGGCTCCGCCCTTCTCGGCCATTGACAGCCATTTAGCCCGCACTGATGAGCTGCTCTTGGGTGACAGGCCAGCTCCAGCCTGCACTCCTTCTTCAGGGATGTGCACAAGGGGTTGGGGCCCTGGCCTTGGAGGAAGAATGACTCTGGGCCCAAGCCCTGGCCGAGCCTGGACAGTGGGGTAGAGTGAAGGTGGCACGGGCCCTTCCTCCTCCTCCTCCTCCTCCTCCTCTTCCTCCTCCTCTTCGTCCTCCTCTTCTTCCTCTGCCATGGGCTCCGCTGGGGCCCGCAGATGCACAGGGCTACCCTCATCGGGTAGTCCCAGGCCACGGCCCTCCAGGGATTTCTGCTTCCACTCACTGATGAGCTGCTTGGAACGGGAGGCATCAAGGGGCACGTGGATGGTCATGTGGCGCCGCGCAGGGTCATCCAGTGAAGGCGTGCTGACACGGGGCAGTGTGTTGCTGAAGGTGACCATGCCCTCCTTGCCCATGGGGCTGCGTGGGGCCAGCAGGTCCACATCCACACTGGCCCGCTTCAGGCTGCCAAGAGATGTCTTCTCTCGAGCCACAGGCCGTGGCACACCCTCTAGCCTCCCCGGAGGGCCCAGCTCGTCTGTGCTGACAGACTTATTCTGCTGATACATGGACTCATGACCCCGCTGTGTCAGCGCTCGCAGGGCATCCTTGGCAGGAGCTGGCAGAGGCACCTTCTCTGCAGGTGGTGCCTGGAAGTTGCCCACTGCGTGGCAGGCCTAGGGATGAGGATTGGCGTGAGGCCTGCTACCCAGCAGGGCACAGTGCCTGCAGCCACAGGGAGGCACCAGCACTGGGCAGTCAGTGGGAGAAGCCTTCCTTCAGACCCCAGGCTCTTGCCACTCAGCCTCCCTGCTTCCATTCCATTGGTGGCCAGCCAGCCTCCTCCCTCAACCCTCCTCGCTAGCCCCCACTCTCACCAGGTAGGCAGCGATGCCGGCACCAATAAGAAAGCCAGCATAGACATCCACAGGGTGGCTGCGGTACTGGGTGATCTGGGTGAGGCCACAGACGCCGGCCGCGATGGCGAAGGCGAACACAAGGATGGGCTTCAGCAGCTTGGTGGTGTCTGAGATGACTGAATTGAAGTACATCTGGGCCGATACATAGGTAGGTCAGGCTGTGCCTACTGCCCACAGATGGGCACAGGGCACAGCACTGGGCTCATCACTCACCGACACGTAGACAGCAGCAAAGGCCGACAGAGTGGCGTGCTGAGACGGGAAGGTTTTCCTGCAAGAGGCACGATGTCAGCCCCGCTGGACTAGGGGCAGCCTGCTTCCCTAAGGTCACTAGAGCAGGGGATCGTGTCACCCCCCTGCAGGGCCTGGGGTCCAAGCTCACCGTGCCGACAGGATGGCATGGGTATCGTGACCAGAGCAGATGTCCTGTGTGATGTAAGGGTTCGCCTCACAGGAAGTGCCCAGCAGAGTGTAATTGGGTTTGCAGACGGTTAGGAAGAAAGGCGTGTGGTAGCCGGTGGCCAGCTGGATGACATCGGTCACCAGAGCCGTGGCACACAGGCCAAACACGTGCACACCTGAGGGCGAGAGGGCCAGGCCAGGGGAGGGGAGCAGGGGAAGGGTGTTCCCCCAAAAGCCCATCCACTCTGTAGCCCCCCATGAACGGACATTAAGGCAGGATCAGGAAGCCCACAGTCACTCACCTACAAAGCGCACTGTCCGCCTGAGAAAGGAGTTGAAATTGCAGCCACCCGCGTTGATGCTGCCCTCGGTGCCCCCTGGGCCACGGCCCCACAGCCGGGACTGCAGGCAGTAGACCATGCCTTCGCCAACCATGATCTGCACCCCCCCCCGGGGGACAGGCAGGTCAGGCAGGGTCACAGTGAGAGACCCAAGCACCCGGGGTCCTGGCGCAGGCTACTCACAGATGCTGCGGGTGCTGCGAAGGCCAGACTCAGCAACATGAGCAGTGGAATCAGCTCCTCATTAGTCTCCACGTAGGGCATGGACAGCGAGCGGTCATAGCACTGGAAGCCCACCTTGGCCGGCTTGAACAGGTCAGTCAGCTCCAGGAAGTATAAGGACACAATGGAGGAAGCCACGATCGGCAGCTTGGGGGAGGCAGATGGTGGTCCAAGTCACCGGCTGTCCCACCACAGCCTCAGTATGGCACAGAGATCCATTTCTGCAACCAGCTATGCCATGAAGGGAAGAGCCATTACACAGCCAGGAAACAGCTCTGCCACACAAGGGCTCCCTCGGTACTCAGATCCATCTGTCACTCATCCACCAACTACCCATCCGTCCATGCCATCCACTGACACATCCATTCAGCCACCATCCACCCATCCATCCATCTATCCATTTGTCCACCTATAAATCCACCCACCCACCCGTCCGTCCAGCCACCCGTCCACTCACCCACCCACCTGTCTGTCCGTCCGTCCATCCACCCACCCGTCCATCCACCCACCCACCCATCTGTCCGTCCACCTACCCATCTGTCCGTCCACCTACCCATCTGTCCACCCATTCATCCGTCCACCCAACCGTCTGTCCGTCCGTCCATCCGTCCACCCACCCGTCTGTCCGTCCGTCCGTCCACCCACCCATCCATCCACCCACCTACCCATCTGTCCACCCATTCATCCGTCCACCCACCCGTCTGTCCGTCCGTCCATCCACCCACCCACCCACCTGTCTGTCCGTCCATCTGTCCGTCCACCCACCCATCTGTCCGTCCGTCCGTCCACCCACCCACCTATCTCTCATCTGTTCATCCATCCATCATACACACACACAGAGACATATATTCTGTTATAGCCCTCTCCTTTCAGCTGCTCCTTAACCAGGCTTACTTAGCCAGTCCTGCCTGCCTTCCCTAGTGGCATTTCCCTGTCCCTATGCAGCTTCAAATGGCACCCAGCATGTGGTTGGTGCTGAGGGCCCTCATTCATGCCTGAGGCCTCTGTCCCAACCCGGCGTCTGTCTCCACCACCTGGAGTATGACGCCAGCGATGGTTCTTCCAAACAGCAGGGAGCCACGGCTCCTGGAAGTGGAGCCCTTGGGACTCAGGCAGGGAAATGCCTGTCATCGAAAGGACCTGGGAAAGTGGACTGGGGAGCTGGGCTCACATCAAAGGAGCATCTATCCAAATTGTCACCTATTTCCACAGCATCTCTGTTTCCAGTAAATAAATAAATACTGAATCCCGGGCGTGAGGGAGTGGCGCACTCCTTCAACCCCAGCACTCCGGAGGCAGAGGCAGGCGGATCTCTGTGAGTTCGAGGCCAGCCTGGTCTAAGCGTGTTCCAGGACAGAGAAACCCTGTCTCAAGAAACAAAGCAAAACAAAACAAAAAGTTGGACAGCCAGTTGCTAGGCAGTAGACAGATAGCTGGGTTGGTGGGTAGAGAGAATAAGGAGAAATCTAGGCTCAGGAGAGAGGGGAAGGAAAAGAGAATGAGGGAGAAAGAGAGGGACGGGTCTGGGGCCAGGCAGCCACCGGCCAGACGTGAGAAGAGGAGAGAGAGCAGGACGTACAGAATGAAAGAGGTAAAAAGCCCCAAGGCAAAACGTAGATGAGGAGAAACAAGATAAAATAAATTAAGTTATAAGAGCTATGGGCCAAGCCTAAGATAAGGCCGAGGCTTTGTGTCGTCATTTGGGAGCTGCTGGTGGCCCAAAAGAAAGTCTGCTACATCTCAGTACATAACAGAACTGACCACACACACACACACACACACACACACACACACACACACAGGACCGTTCCATTCTGCACTATCTTTCAGTGTTCAGCGGGTTACATGAAGAGTGTGCCCATAGTTTTAAAACAATCATACAGCGGGTTGTGGCCGATCTGTCAGGTGAGGAAATAAACTCCCTTACCTTAGACGAAGGCTTCCTGTCCTGACAGCCCCACCCCCAGGAACCGGCTCAGAGGCTGAATTATAAAGGCTCGGCCAATAGCTCAGGCTTGTTAGTACCTAACTCTTACACTTAAATCAACCCATATTTCTATTTATGCTTTGCTGACCTACTTGTTCTGCGGATAGCTGACTGGCCTTCCTCCTGACTCCACCCTTCTTCTTCCCGTCAGTCTCAATTTTGTTTTCCCACCTAACTTTCTGTCCAGCTACAGGCCTGTCAGCTTTTTATTAACCAATGAGAGTAACACATACTCACAGTGCAGCAAAGGATTGTTCCACAGCACACACAGACACACACACACGCGCCTTCCCTCTCCCTTCCACTTTCTCTCTGAGACAGAGTTTCCCTGTGTAACAGCCCTGGCTGTCCTGGAACTCACTCTGTAGATCACGCTGGCCTGGAACTCAGAGATCCGCCCCCCTCTAGGCATACATCACCACACCCAGCCTGTCCCTTCCTTCCTTCTTTCCTTCCTTCCTCCCTTCCTTCCTTCCTTCCTTCCTTCCTTGTTTTTTGTTTTCGAGACAGGGTTTCTCTGTAGCTTTGGAGCCTGTCCCGGAACTAGCTCTTGTAGACCAGGCTGGCCTCGAACTCACAGAGATCCTCCTGCCTCTGCCTCCCGAGTGCTGGGATTAAAGGTGTGCGCCACCACCGCCCGGCTAGACTGCCCCTTTCTATTACTGGGTGGGTGAGGAGGGCAGAGGCTACTGCGGGAATCATCTTAGCTTTGCATTGTGCCGGTCACAGGGATAGAACTTAGGTCGTCGGGTTTGCCGGCAGAAGTCTTTACCACAGATGCCCGTAAGTCCATAAATGCCCTTCTCCACACAGGATTTTTTTATTTATAGGGTCTGATGGAGCCCTGGCTCCATCTGTACCGAAAATAAAGCAACAGCCGAGCAAAGATAGCCTAAGGCCCACGCTTTGGTTCAGATCTGCTGCTCACTCGGGGTGCCAGTGCCCATGTGGGCAAACACAGCAGGGAGTGTGAAATGCTACACTTCCCTCTGCCCGCAATGCTGGTGTGTGTCTGTAGCCTGAGCACATGCAAGGCTGTGGCCAAAGAACAACTCTGAGTTCTGGATCAGCTTGGGCTACTTAAAGAGAACCAGTCTTGCTGGGCGGTGGTGATGCACGCCTTTAATCCCAGCGCTTGGGAGACAGAGGCAGGCAGATCTCTGAATTCAAGGCCAGCCTGGTCTACAAGAGCCAGTTCCAGGACAGGCTCCAAAACTACAGAGAAACCCTGTCTTTAAAAAAAATAAAAGAGCAAACAAACAAAAAAATAAAACAAAACAAAAAAAGTCTCTAACAAAGCACTCTTTCCCAGCTCTTCCAGGGCTTCTCAGCCTGCTCCTCCACTGGGGGGAGCAATGCAGGCTCATCCAGGTCTGTGTGCAAATGAAGGTCAGAAACAAGTTAGTGTGCCCGCGTGGGGGTAGAGTACCTCATGTGCACAAGTCAAGTCCTCCCTGGACAAAAACCCTTGTATAGGGCCAGCAAGATGGCTCAGTATGGAGCGTGCCTGCTGCACCCACATGGTGGAAGTGAAGAGCTGGCTCCTGAAAGCCCTCCTCTGAACCTCCACACTCCTGCCACAACACACGCGCGCGCACACACACACGCTAAAGAATATTTAAAAGCCTTAAAAAAAAAAAAGACCTTACGTTAAAGAGGAAAACCTTAAAATAATAAAACGAGAGGAAGTTGTCCTTAGGGGAAGAACGCTTCTTTCCAGGTGCCAGGACCCAAGTTCTAGTCCCCAGCACCACGCAGCAAGGTGGGGACAGTCCTTGGGCGCTGCCTGTAACATGGGTGCTACAGGGTGAGGACACCAGTACAGTGACGGACCCAGTCAAAGAGCAATGGAGGAACACACCTGCTGTCATCCTGTAACTGTGGGTGAGCTCTCACCACCCCCCTTCGCCCTGCACGGTGGTCTGGGCTTGCTATCCCAGCCTCCCAGCACCAGGGAGACAGAGACAGGAAGACTGAGTTTGAGCCTAACATGGAATACAATCAAGTCCCCATCCAGCCTGGGCTACAGAGTGAAAATTCAGAATGAGGCTGAGGACCTGGCTGAGGAACTGAGCTCCCATCCAAAATGCCCGCATGAGGGCCTAGTGGGCGTGGTCAGAGCAGAGGGGCCTCCTGGGAGAGTGATCATGGGGTAGTTTCACCCAGAATCCACAAGCGAGGGGCTGGGGGTATGGTCAGGGGTAGGGTCCTGCCTAGAATCCTGTAGTGAGGAGCTGGGCATGAGGTCAGGGTGGAGCCCCACTCCAAGCATCCCCCAGTGAGGGGCTGTGGGCGTGGCCAGGATGGAGCCCCGCCTAGAATTCCCCAGTGAGGGGGCTGGGGGCGTGGCCAGGTGGAGCCCCGCCTAGAATCCCCCAGAGAGGGGGCTGGGGGCTTGGCCAGGTGGAGCCCCGCCTAGAATCCCCCAGAGAGGGGCTGGGGGCGTGGCCAGGGATGGAGCTCAGCTCTGTCAAGGTCCAGGAGGTCCTGGATTCTATTGCCAGTACTAAAGGTAATCATGAAAATAATTTTAAATGAGCGAGAAAAAATTAGCTGTAAGCAATTTTGGAAGGATTTCAAAGGATTCTGGTGAGAGTCAGCCTGAGGGTCTGGGCAGAGGATGGGACCTGGTTAATCTATTGTCATGTTGGAACTTAAGCATTCCCCTAATTGCTCTATGGCCCACACAGGGTCACCTGCTGGGAGGGATCCGCTTTGGGGACAAAGCTGGGCTCCAGGCTGACCCTGGGCTTGTCTGTCACACAGCTTCTGTCCCCATCCGAATCCTGTCATTCAGAGAAAAACGCCATCATCCACACTTAGTATGCACCAAGTGAATGCATGTATTGTCTTCTATTTTTAGACCCCTCAGTTCTCCATCACAGCTGGTTAGTCTTGGGGGAGGGGGGCACGCAGTCAAACCATTAGCAGAAGAGGGCTTAGATACATCCAAGGTGCTGTATCCTTGGCCAAGTCCCCAGAGCCCACCTTCCCCAGTTGGGGCTTGTTCACCACCATGCCCCAATTTTCAGACCTAGCTTCTCACCCATGTCCTTCAAAAAAAGCCCACCATCCTAGCATTTCCTGGTCTGTTCCCACAGTCTAAAGGACCCTTCTGAATTTCTGGAACTCCTACTCGACCTGCAGAGCCCTGCTTCTTGAACCCAGCCTTATCCCCATCCCAGCTCCAGGTGCCGTGGTTCCGCGGTGCAGGCTCCTGTCCCCGCAGCGTGTCTTAAGCTCCACGCCATGGAAACCTATCTCCGTGGCCCCCCACTCACCTCTACGAAATAAAAGCAAGGCAAGAGCGTCATGCTGTCCTTCGGCGTTTTATTCTTCTCCTTCATAGCAATCATGGTGTCGCAGGCGCTGTAGGCCGAGGTTGCAGGGGACAAAGGCGCGCTGGAAACCAGGAGGTGCGCAGATGGAGTTCCCAGGTGGGGAGACAAGGGATAGACAAAGCGGCCGGGGGAAACTGAGGCTGAAGCTAAGGGAAGTACTTGGGGAAGGAGGATGCAGGGGCGCAGACGGCTCGCTCACCTGGGAGGGCGGAGTCCGCCGCAGAGCGCGGACACAAAGCCCGGGCCCCCGCGTGGGAGGGACGCGAGGCCGGGAGCGGTGCGCGGGGCACGGGCTCTTTGTCTGTGGACTCTGCAGCCGCTCGGGCCCCGCCCCGGCCCCGCCCCCGGTTAGGGCGCCTCCGCCTCCGGCTCTGCGGGTCTCAGGGTCTCCGGCCCCGCGGGGGATCGCGATCCGGGTCCCTTCTCTGCCCCTGGTATGCGCCCTCTGTGCGCCTTTCGCGCGCACGATCAGTCTCAGGGACCTAGGGGCGCGCGACGGAGTGCGGGCAAGGCGAGGTCCCGCGGCCCCAAATCATCTCCCTACGTCTCACAGTCGCCGAGTCCTCGGGCCCCCACGTCTTCCGTGCCCGCTGCTCGCTGGAGTCGGTTGCCATGGTGAGGTCCCTGGGCGCCTGAGGGAAAGAGACAAAGACTCCCGGGTGGAGGGGCTGCCCTCACTCTACTTTCCCCCTCGTCCCCGCCCCTCCTTTTCTCCATCCAACCTTCAGGCCCGCCTCACCCTCCTGACCCTACACAGCTGATGCCTGGAGGATAAATGCACTTAGACAGCCCTTGCCCTTAGCAACCCTTTCCCGGCTCGGCAGAGGTAGCCCTGTAAGGTAGCCACTGCATCCCAGCAGGGGCAAACCGAGGCCCAGAGAAGTTAGGAAATCATTCTATCGGTGTAGTGAGTGAGCTTACTGTATACCAGATCCTTAACAGACACTTGGGATTCCCTGGGCTACGGCTCCATAGTAAGTCATGCTACAAGCAGGAGGACCTCGTTCGAATCCCCAGCACCCACATAAAAAGCCATCCACGGTGTCGTATCTAACCCCAGCGCTGGGGCGAGCAGGACCGGATGATCCCCGATCCTAATCAAAGAAACTATCCCAAAACATAAGGTAAAACTGGGGGTGACTGTGTACGTCTGTAATCTCAGCCCCTTGTGAGACGAGGCAGAGGGATTCTGTGAATCCCAAGACAACAAGGGCTACATAGTGGGACCCTGTTTCCAAAAAACAAAACCAGGCCTGGGCGGTGGTGGCGTTGGCCTTTAATCCCAGCACTCTGTGAGTCTGAGGCCAGCCTGGGCTACAGAGCGAGTTCCAGGACAGCCAAGCAACAGAGAAACCCTGTCTTGAAAAACCAAAAAACCAAAACCAGAACAAAACAAAACACAGAAACAGAGTGGGTGGGCAGCTCAAAGAACACGTGAGCAAACAGGCCCCTCACAGGGAAACACAGGAAAGACAGGACAAGGGAGAAAGCACAAGGTCATCTGAAGGGCATGGAGGGCTGATCCATGGAGCACCTACAGTGTCCACCCTGCTCTAGCGCCCTGCCCACCCCGCCGCCCACCCCACCGCCCACCCCACCGCCCACCCCACTACCCTGCCCTGCCCACCC